TAATTATTTTCAACTGAGTGTACATGCTATCAGAACAGTTATGCAGGCATATATTTAAAAAACAATCAGGGCCGGCCGAGTGGCGCGTTGGTTAGGAGTTGGCTTTGGAGTGCCAGCTCTGAGCATCAGGGCTACAGTTCGGATCCCACATGAGGGCCAGTGACGCTGCATCCTCTACAGCTAAAATGGTGAACAACAGCTCGACCTGGAGCTGGGCTGCTGTGAGTCGCTGGCGACTGCGTGGGCTGCAGCAGGGCTGCAGTGGGCTGCAGTGAGTTACGTGAGTGGTTGGCAGCCAGTGTGAGCGGCTGGTAGCTGCTGTGAGTGGCCGACCAATGACCGGCGACCGATCGCCTCACCCGGGAAGAGCACAATGATCATACCAACATGGGCCAGTGAAGTGACGTCCTCCACAACTAGACTAAAGAACAAAACAGTAATTTGTCTACCTGTCTGTTCCCCTCTCCCCAATTCCCCAGTAAAATCTTAAAAACAAAACAAAAAAAAATCATATTGGATGTATTTTCTATTATGTAATTAACATGTCATAAAACACTCTTTACAACATTGTCTTTTAACAACTACATACTGTGCACTAAATGGATGTAACAAAATTTAATGGGGGATCTTCGGGTAATTTCCGATTTCTCACAATCATCAGCAATCTTTTAACGAACACTCTTTGCTGGATCTTGTTGCAGTCATGGTTTCCCTACGATAAAGGCCTGGAAAGGCAATTTCCAGATGAAAAACTCTCTGGCACTAGGGGGAGCTCGCTGGTCACCTGTGGGATCCCCACTGGCTGTGCTTTTTAAAGAGCCAACGCGCCCTGTAACTTAGCCGTGGGGCCCATCTCAAATGTCCCATGCGCTTTGTCAAGATCAGAGTGCAAACACTGGGCACACAGCTCCTAAAGAATGCCCGATGCCCCGCCCCTCGCCTCTGAAACCCTCTGGCTAAGATGGACAATGGATTAAATAGACATTGTGGACATGTGCCAATTACGTGACTATATCAGCTTAGAGATTCTGTGCATTGAGAAGGTGGGATGGGTGGTGGGAGGAGGGGACACGCACACCAGAGTCTAGTCAGGGGAGACATTTCCTGCTTTATTACTGCCTGGGCGGGTTTCAGCGGTCACATAATTCTTTCAGGTGCATTCTCATTCTGCAGGCAGTCCTGTGGTCCTTTTGACTGACTGGCTGAGAGCTGTCCCTCCCCCGCCAGGTTGCAGGGAAGGAAGCTGACATGTTGAACTGTTGACTTGCCTCAGAGGTTGTTAAGGTCCTAATTCAGGGCTCCTCAGGCTCCAGTGCTGCCCCCCAAGTTCAATCCCCGATACATACACATTTGTGAGAAAGGGTGCTCTAGGGGTGACCTCCCGACATTGCAGCTGGTCAGAGGTGACCAGGGAAGGATGGAAGCACCAGGGCCAAGGGTAGAGGCAGCACCAACTAACTCCCTACTCCCTCCCTCCCCCAATGTGCACAGATGATGCTTCTCAAACATATAAGATGCTAAGAGCTTCCAATCCAAAGCCCTTTCTATGTGGAAGTGCTGGCAGTGCCCAGGTCATGTCAGTTAGGTGAGAATGGCTGCATCTCAGGCTCATGGGTGGGCACATGACCCAGGCCAGTGGACGTGTGCAGAAGCAGGAGCGGCTTGTGCGGGGGTTGCTGACACAGTTCTGCAGCATCGTGGAGACAAGCACGGGCCTCGGAGTTTGCACTTGAATCTCTCACCCCTTACTGGCCATGTGACCTTTCTGAAATGCCTTAATATCGCTGAGATTTGGCTTCCTTATCTGTAACCTGAGCACTGAGCCTGGCATGTATCCATCACGCCATGATGCTGGCTGGCTGTCATGACTGCCCACGCCCTCAGATGTGGAGGCAGCGAGCTTCCTTTCCTCTTGCTAAGCCTGTTCATCCACAACGTTATTGTTCTCATCATATGAGTGGGTGTAATCAGTACTTGGGACAAAATACACAAGACTTAATTGGTGCAGTTGTTAGACATAACTTCACGTGGGCTTCTCAAGTCAATTATCAGTTACCAGATGGGATCTCCAAAGTCCTACCTACTCCCCAGAGTCGAGTGACTTATGTGTAAAAAAGCAATTACTATACCACAATGAACCCTGAAGGTCTTCTCCAGTGTTACACATTTTGGTTAAAATTCTTTGTGACACCAAAAGCACAAGGAACAAAAAAAAAAAATACACTGGCCTTACTCAAAATTAAAAACCTTTCTGCTTCAAAGGACACTATCAAGAAAGTGATGACAACCTATGGAATGGGACAATGTTAGCAAATTAATTACCTGATAAGGAGTAAACAAACTGGAACAACCCTACAGTGGAACCTTAAAAAGACATGGATGAATCTTAAATGCATATGCTAAGTGGAAGCCACATGCTATATGACTAATTACATGAAATTGTGGAGAAGGCAACAGTAAGAAGTGGTTGTCATGGGTTCAGGAGGGAGAGGGGAGGAGTCACATAGGTGAAGCACGGGTTTTTTTCAGGGTGGTGCAACTTCTGTATGACACTACATTAGTAGATACATGGCACTATGCACTTGTCAGATCACATTGAACTTTACAGCGTTGCCCTGGATGTACCTGGATTTTAAAAAAATCATTTAGGAGGTGGTGGTGGTGTTTCCTGGGATAGAATGCAGAACGCAACAACACAACGAAACTCTATTACAAACATGAAACAGTGTCACTGAAGGTGGTGGGGGGAAAGGCGCTGACCTAGATAACTTTGACAATGGGAGTCTAAAATGAAAGGTGAAAGGAACGATACTTGGCACTGTACTCATCGATCAAGGTGTTTCCCACGTGGGCATGGGCTACTTCTGTACACGTAAACTGGAAACGAACAGCTATGCAAGTGGTTGGCAGAGGGTAGGGGCCAGGCTTCTAAGTGTTTCGCCAAAGCAACTACAGTGATTCACGCAAGTAAACCTGTTAGAAACAGCTCTTACACATGGAGTATTAGTACAGGGACTTTCTACAAAATACCTCAGAATTGTCCAAGTCATCAAACACCAAGTCTGAGAACTAGCTCAGCCAAGAAGAGCCTATACAGACAGGACTACATGTAATATGTACCCCTAACAGAAATAGGTAAAAATGAAGAAAATCTGAGTCAAGGATGGGCAAAGGATTTGAATAGACATTTCTCCAAAGATAAACAAATGGCCAGTAAACACGTGGCAAGCTCATCAGTCATGAGGCAAATGCAAATCAAAACACTTCATACCCCCTAGGATGGCTATGTAAGATACACGTTGACAGTTGAGGGAAAATGGAAACCCTCATATGCTGTTGGTAGGATTGCAAAATGGTGCAGCCTTTTGGGAAGTTTGGCAGTTCTTCAAAAGATTAAAGTTGCCATGTGACCCAGTAATTTCAAACCTAGGTATATATCCGAAAGAACTCAAAATATGTCCACACAAAAATCATTAGCAGCATTATCCCAAATAAAGAAGTACATGTCCAACTGATGAAGGGGTAACAAACGCATGGTGTATCTATACAATGAAATGTTACCTGACAATAAAAGTGAAGTTCTGAAACATGCTATCATGGGGATGAAGCTTGAATATGTACTTCATGAACACCAAAGGCCACATTATGGTTCCATTTTACACAAAACGTCCAATAGGCAAACAGAAACCAGATTAGCGATTGCACAGGGGCCAGGGAGGGGAACTGGAGTGCTAGTGGACCTGGGGTTTCTTTTCTGAGATGCTGAAAATGTTCTCAATTTAGTGGTGGTGATGGTTGCCAAGCTGAATATATTATAGTAATCCCCCACCCCGAAACGTACACTTTAAAAAGGGTACGCTGGGCCGGCCACGTGGCTCAGTTGGTTAAGAGCACGAGCTCTGACCAACAGGCTCGCCAGTTCGATTCCCACATGGGCCAGTGAGCTGCCAACAGGTGGCAAGATGGTTCAGCTGGTGAGAGCACCAGTTCGACTCCTGCATGTGATGGCCCTGCAACTAAGATTGAACACGGCACCTTGAGCTGAGTGGCTGCGAGCTGCCAACAGGCGGCCCGATGGTGACTGGACTTGGAGCTGAGCTAGCTGCCCCCTCCACAACTAAGATTGAAGGACAACTTGGCTGTTCCCTTTCCCTGATTCCCTAACACTGTTCCCCTTCCTCAACTCCCCAATAAAATCTTTTTTTTTAAAAAAAGGTACGCTTAGTGGTATAGAAGTTATAATACAATAAAGCTGTTATGAAAGATTCCTGTGCGGGTGATACTATATATGCTGCTTCTCTAGACAGGTGCTCTGCAAAGCGCACCAAGCACTGAGGTAACAGATCTCAACAAGGCCTCACTCCCCTCCCATGTTTTCTTTGCTCTAGTCAAAAAAACCTGGGTAGAAGAATGTAAAGAAAGACTACACTGAACAACTCTAATGTTTTAGAAACCTTTATTGGAAAGGCTACAAACTTGATATTGCCACTGCATTTCTTACGCTTCAAGTGGTTGTGGGAAGTAACCTTGGATACAAAACTACTATGCTGTTGAATCTTGCCCAGGCTGGTTGTAAAATATTTTTTGTACAATGGAGGTAGAGTGGATAGGACAATATTTTAAACCCCAGGGCCTTACTGCCAGGACACCTTTTGTTCCATCCAGGTTCTAGCAGATCTAGAAATACGCTACAGGTATACGTAGGCTTAGGGGTGGCATAACACATTTAAAAATGTTAGTTTTCAGTTTCCCCCATTTGTTCTTTTACAAATGTAAAATGTACAACTGATGCCTCTTTTCCCTAAAATTAAAGTGTGTTCTGGGAATGAAAAGAAGGTAATCGTCGGAAGATGGAAAGAGCAACACAACATCCTTTTCATAGTAGTTCCTCATACCATTGAGTCTTTTTTCTCATACCATTGAGTCTTACTTTTCGACAAAACATTAGTAATAATCAACACTTCCCCGAATCTCAAATATTCAACTTAATGGAGACAGAGAATTTTTAACTTAACATTTAATGAAAACAGAGAGCATTTTAACAGGTTCTATGCACACATGGTTCTAATATTGATTTGCTGTTACCTTATTTTTAAAATGGGGTGGTGGGGAGATACAGAGGCCACGTTACCCTGGCCTGGGAGCGAATTACACAACTCAGATGTCCCTCAGGTTTACAAAGCATCAACTGAAACCAACACAGCCTGTTTCTACCAACATATCAAACGTCCTTTTCCCTTTTAAAACTATAAAATGGGCACGTGCCTGAGGTGAAAGCTTCAGGCCAATGGGTTTTTAAGGGCTGCTTCAGAACCAGAGCTAAGGTACAGTCTCCAGTTCAAAATATGCTCTTCCTTCTAAAAATGTGACACAAAGAATAATTTACACCAACTGCTTTTTATTATCGAGTTTCAAAAACCTTTCACAAGATGTTAAAAAAAAAAAGGAAAAAAAAAACAAACCCAAAAAACTTTACAACCACAGCTAATGCATTTCTTCCCATTGTTCCCAGTCAGCTCCAAACCCATTGTGTGCAAAGCCCATTTTTCCATGCACCTAAATGATAGATACAGGCTATGAAATTCTTTATTCTATTTGTAGCAGCTTATGCAGGTGCAGCCAAACACAAAGCTTTAGGACAAATTGTACACAAACTTTACAATGTGGGATCTGAATTTAAAATATTAAACAAAAAACTCTACACAAAACCGATAAAAATTAAGCACAGATGCCAGGACTGAAACTTAAAACCCATGTGTGAAAGGGAGTCTTGTTTCCTTTCAAGTGCTTTATTTTGCTACAGAACAGTCAAAATGAAGATGTAAAGCTTTGTGGTTAGTTTAAATTATACACTCTGTAGATACTATACCAACTTTAAAAGTTACACATAGACCAACAGATGTCCATCAGTTCATCTGGACTGACCCAGACACTCCAGCTGGATCGTTGAAAACAAACCAGGCAAATGTGGAAAGAAAATCCACTTGTGCAATTAATTTGTCTGTAGAGTTTACTGATGGGCACACTGCACCCCTGGCCCATGATGGCTGCTGCTCTCTTCGTCAGAGCTGTCATTATAGGCTTCACGCCGCTGACCACCTCCTGAGCCCCGGGTGCTATCGAATTCCTGAAGCTCTACCTCCTCTGTGTCTCCAATTATGTTTGGAACGTCTGGTCTACAGGGCAGAAGATCTTCTAGTTCCTTTATTACAACAGACAAGAACAAGGTTAGTTGTAAGGTATCTTCATTAACCTCCCTTTTGATACCTTTCAAGGTGTGTGCTTCTTTTAGAGTGAAAATAGATGTCTTTGCACTTTAAGCCAGAGACCACAAGCTAATGACCCACCGGCCAAATCTGCAGACATCTTTTGTGCAACCCATATGTTGCTTAGCAAAAAACAAAAGCATAACAAAATTAGTTGCCAGCGCTTAAACATTGGAAAATGTTACGCCAGACGTGATGTGCCTTCCTGCATGGAACACCCAGCAGATAGATGCTAAGCTGAGAGCTGCCCTTTTCAGGTGAGGAAATTGCTCTCCAGGGGGTCCCAACGCCTAAGCAGCCCATCACACCCAGTCTGCTTTATTCCTTTACTATTCCCCGCTTGGCCCTACAAACATTTATACCAGCAATCCTCATTTTATTAACAACCAGGGCAACCCATTAATCACTCAAATACTTAAAAAGTAAAATACTAAAAGTTGAGTGATCTAATCTTAGCATCAACATCAGATGGAAGGTGAAAAGAAACCACCATTATTAAGCCTTGTTATCTTTTGTTTAAATTTGGAGAACACTTACAGAAAGCTTTTCTGAGCTGATCCAGTTGTTTTCAGGAAACTGCACATCAAACTTTATGTAAAGATCACCTTTTTCAAAGGGATTACGATACTGTGGCATTCCTTCACCTCGAACTACACGGACACATCCTATTTTTGAGTAAGTAATGGGGAAAGCAGTAAGAATTTCATCCAAGAAGAAAGGTGCTCCACAACATTAACAGTCACCAACTCTAAAAAAACGACAAATTGTAAAAGAACACATGGACCCCTAGATCAGACAAATCGAGATTTACCTGGTTCAATCACTTTGCCTGGGGGGTATTTTACCACAATCTGACGCGCATCAAGGTGCTTAAACGTGAACTGAAATCCACACAGAGCTTCAACAAGTCCTATCTTATATGTCATGTGCAAATCATTCCCATCTCTCTGGAACACCTACAAATAAAGTGCACAAGAAGTATATTGTAAAAAAACGATGGCACCATTCTCTGTTGTGCTGTGTTCCTGGAATTGATTTCAAAACCTTAATTCTACCATTCACTGCAAAAGCCAAACTGCCACCATCCCTGATTCCCTAAATTTATATGAAGAAACCTAGCTATTCTTAAGTAATATGCTAGAAATGTCTACCAGGCAAGCTCTGGAATTGTGAAAATAAATGGCCCCTAAGGCACAGCTGAGGCTCCAAGAGGAGAATGGGGTATATTCTGAAGGCCCACTTCCTGACCCCGCCTCTGAGCAGAAAGGTGTAGAAAGCCCTGCGGGGTTGTGTAGAACAGGTACCTCGGAGGGCTCCCCAGATGTGAGCCTAACACAGAAGGGAGGGTCCAAGTTCAACATAAAAAGTTCAACCAGTAATGCTCCGCCAGTAAAGAAGCTTAAATACCATGCTTCACACATACATAAACCAGTTTTATCTCACCTAAATTTCAAAACTTGCTTAGATGAATGTAAATCAAACAGAATAAGCCTATGGACTAGGCCATGCAAAGATTATTCAATAAACATAGACTGTTTCCGAGTTTTTAATGTGTCAGAAAAATATATCTAATTTCACACATGCCCAGTTTGCAATTTTTACTTAATGGAATTTAGAAATATCTATATACTTAACTTTTAAAATTTATGAAACAAAATTAACTGCAGTGAAACATCACCTAGATTTTTTCCAATACAAATCTCTCTTCCAAAGACTGCTGGATGGTTCATTCAGAGAAAAGAGAAAAGCTGAAAGATACCTTCTTTTCCTAAATTATCCTCCTAAATGTACCCACGAAGGAAAGTTAATCTCAAACCATTATCTTGACCAGTGGTCCTGAACCAGCAGCCTCAGCAGCAACAGGAAACTTGAATCATCTTTCACCAAATATCCTTTTGTTAAATTAAAACTGTATTAGAAGCAGGGAGCAAAAAGGAACACCAGTTCCTGGATAGGAGACCTCAAAGGAAAGCGATTCCAATAAAAACTGGTATCAGTTTGTTTTTTTTGCAAGGAGGGGGGGAGGAGGGAGGAAGAGGGATGATTAAGCCAATCAAATTGATGCTAAACTTCAGAAAATAAACAAGCAAGATCAGGAAAATTTTGAAAAACAAGATTAATGGGAGGCACTACCAAGAACCAGACAGCAAAACACTGAAAAGCTGTAATAATTTATAAAAAAAAAGGATGGTGTATAGTCGGAGAATAGCATTGCAGATACTGTGGTTCTCTGCTGCACAAGTGCACCCAGGTCACCCCACGTGCATGCGCACGCACGCTGAACAATGAACACGCATGATACGCAGCACTCCCCAAACTGAATGTTTTTGATCAGAACTTCTACACTGTTTCAGACACAGCATGAACAGTAATCTCATGGCCTCACAATTACTTCAACAAGAGCACTGGAGTGTGTGTGTGTGTGTGGGGGGGCAAAGTATCTACAAGCTTTTTCATGAACTAGTTCAAACTAGTCAAGTTTTCTTCCAAAGGTTCAGAGTATTTTCAGTGGTATAAATTAAACAACTGCCTAAATCTCATCTTGGGCTCAAATTTACTTGTCATCATAAAACCAAGAAGGAACCTCTGCCCTCTTACTAGATGGAAGTCCATTCTACTTTCTACTTTAGATAACCAGTGACACCTGCTGTCTGTTGGAAACTCCATGCAATTCCACTGCTGCCAACAATTCTAAGGAACTTCCTTCCAAACGCCTCCCACAGCCAAGAAAGCAAAGCAGCTCATTGGTCACCTCGTTTGATTCTGAGGAAGGGCAAGCTTTGTGTTTAGTTAGGCCGCCCAGCCCAGGGAGGCCACTGCTAGTCAACGGGAGTCAGAACTTAAGCCCCTTGTCTCCAAATCCAGTGATCTCTGTTTTTCAAATCCCCATTTAATGATACCGCTACATACTGAACTTAGGGGGACAAAGTTTCACCATCAGTTTGACACGCCCCAAATCCAAAACATCATTTCTGCTCTGCTCCGAATAAGCATTACCTCCCAACTTCCTCTCAACAGTCCCACTGCTGCACTGCCAGATAGCAGTGATACACCAGTGAGAATACCCACACGCTGTGCCATCTTACAATACAGCTTCCTCTAGTCTATGCCCAAGGGGACTAGAAACAAAAGTTACTCGGCTGTCTTCCTGCCTTGTGTGGTGTCATGCATGGAAGGCAAGATTAAACAAATGAGGAAGTGGCTAAAATACCAGTTAATAGAGAATCTTGTAAAAGAGTTACAAATATTTCAAGGCAAAATTTTAGAAATTACTCCTATTTTTAAGCAATCTACGAGGCCCCTGCTATTTGTAGGCTTGGCAATATCCACAAAGGGCCGACATGTATAAACACATATATTGGGTTGTCGGAAAAGTCATGACGCATTTGTGCAACGAAAAGAAAAAATGTGCCATGACTTTTCCGACAGCCCAATATATCTATATAGACATATACAGATATAGATATACTAATTTATATTTTGGCTTTGCTGAGAAAGGCTAGTGCAGGGGAGAACACCAACCTAGAGGGCATGAACCTAATCAAATTCCCAGAATTTGCCTCTCACTGTGGTTTTGTTCTCTACTGGATTCTTAAAGTGATTTAAAAAATTTATTTGTAGAAATCACCATCAAATGGGACAAAATTTTAGTGTAAACTAAAAAGGTGGCTGACCTGAGATGTAAAGACTTTCAGAGGAGCTTGAATCAATGTGATCAAGTTCAAAGCCAGAACCCTGTCAAATGCTTCCATATTCAAGAATGTGGCTGATTACTACAGGGATGTTTCATGACTAGCTCGATATATTCTTCATGAGTAAAGGTCTACAGTACACCATATATGGCACATTAAGTAACACAGTTATAATGGTATAATCACAATAACAAGACACCAGACCACATCATTTGGCCAGTCAATTTTGCCTTGTACATAACAGATACCATGCATATTCAATCAGAAATCCAAAAATGAAAATATTTTAAAACTGCAGAACCTTCTTTCAAAAAAAGCTCACTCAGATACCCAGTGTGTAAAACAAATCAACAGCAGCACTGAGGACTGACGCCTTGTCCACTCACCATCCATCAAAGGCGTTTCCCAGTGAAAAATAAGCCACCTCAGATCATCTGGTCCAGTGCCCTTATTTTCATAAACAAGGAAGCTGGGGTCCAGGGACATTAGGGTTACATAAGGTCACTGTGCTGGTCAGTGGCCAAGCTGGGACCGAATGTGCCTCTTACAGCGCTTCTCACTGCACCTGCCTTGGTGATATACCGAGTAAGTCAACTCTTAGGACCTCAGCCTGATGCTCCACTTCGGCCTGTGCTCAGGGTTGCTCCAGAGAACCCAAACAGGTCTAACCTGTATGTCGTGCACAAGACACATTTCTGAATCAAACAAACAAAAAGGAAATTACCTCGTGTTCTTTTTCCTGTAGCAAGAGAACAATGTCTCCAGGTTCTACTCCGGGGGCCTGGTCTGCTTCCCCTGTGAACGTGATTCTCTGTCCATGTTTCATGCCTTTGTCCACGTGGACTTCAAGAATCTTGACTTCTTTTATCACCTTCTTCCCTTCACATTTTTTACAGCGGTCCTTTTCATTAATTACCTCTCCTGGAAACAGAGGTCATTCAAATTTCCAGCAAGAGTACTATGTTGCACTCTTGATAATGCCTTATTCATTAAATAAATTTGCTGAACTTCTTTTAATTGCTACCTCAAGTTTAAAGCATCATTCATAACAAAAACTCACATCTTACTGCAGGTTACCTCAAGGACCCAGCTACCTTGTCTCCTCTATTTCAGATTATAGTGTATCTTAACACATTGAGGATGAGGCATTTAAATGTACAGATGCGGGCCGGCCGAGTGGCGCGATGGTTAAGAACTGGCTTGGGATGCCGGAGGGCCCTGGTTCGGATCCCACATATGAGGGCCAGTGACACTGCCCTCTACAGCTAAGATGCTGAACAACAGCTCAACCTGGAGCTGGGCTGCCATGAGTCGCCGGCGACGGCGTAGGCTGCAGCCCCTGCTGCAGGGAGTTGCCATGGGCTACCGTGTGTAGCCAGCAGCCAGCGTGAGCGGCCAGCAGCCGCAGTGAGCGGCCGTCCAGAAGCCGGCGACTGATCTGCCTCGCCCGGGAAGAGCGCAATGATGGTGCCAGCTTGGGCCAGTGAAGCAACGTCCTCCACAACCATACTGAAGAACAAAAGGACAGCAACTTGTCTGTTCCCCTTCCCCCAATTCCCCAGCACTGTTCCCATCCCCCCAATTCCCCAAAAAAAATCTTAAAAAAAAAAAAAATGTATAGATGCAAATCTGCATCACCGGTCCACAATGTTAAAATACTTTTTTGACTCCTGACTCTACTTCCTAAAGTTAAAACAAAGCCTAAGGATCAAGGACACAATGCTGGGCTTCTATAAATGCGTCTTCAGTCTTAGTTTCATGTAAGTTTAACAATGAACAGAGAACCCGAATAAAATTTTAAATATCCTTTATGGCTCTGTATTACACAGTACAGTTGGTACTGAATTATTTATTTCATACACGAAAAGCTGCTCAGATCTCCCCTTTATTTAGGTATACCACCATTGAGAATTTCCAAAACCAGTTAGAAATGCTTGAATTTAACTGGCACTGAGTACCTCCATACAATGTTCAGGACAACACAGTTTCTTTTCTATGTATTGTTCTGAAATATTTGATAATACATAATAAAGTAAAATTGAAGTTGTACATAGCAGATTGTGAAAAACTAGCATTGATTTCTAATGGCTGATTATTCATACACTTTAAATGCTTAGATAACATGTATAATTAATGACTTCAGGGACTGTTTCTAGAATGCTGACTTTGCAAATTATGTTCTAAAAAATATCAGTTCCTAAAAATTGGTAATGGTACATGGAAGATTTCCATCAACTTTGGTTTGATAGCAGCACTCGTCAGTAATAACATACAAGGCACTGAGATTCACTAGGAGGGGAATATAATAGGAAGCATCTCCAAATTATCTTGTCACTTCCAGAAGCAGCTTAGTAAAGAACGTTCTAAAACTGTGCTGTCTGATATGGTGGCCTCTAGCCATCAGTGGCTATTTAAGTTTAAATTCATTAAAATTAAAAACTTAGCTCCCCAACCCCACTAGCCACATCCAAGTACTCAGCAGCCACAGGCGGCTCGTGGCTACCACACTAGGCGACGCATATAGGGAACACTTCCATCATCGCAGAAAAATTCTTTTGGATACCACTGCTCTAGAACAGGGGCTGACAAATAAAGGCCCACGAACCAACTGGGCATGCCCGTTTACGTGACATGTTTAACTGGAAGACAGCCATGCCCATTGGCTTCCATATTGTCTGTGGCTATAAAAACGCTAAGGGGCAGAGGTGAGCAGCAGTTTCAGAAACCATTCTGCCCACAAAGCTTAAAATATTTACTTTTGTGAGAAGAGCTTCAACCCCAATATCTAGCCTCAAAAGCTACCTAGAGCTTACAGTTAAATCCTCCAACTTTACCAGAATGGTAACTAAACAATTTGCTTTTTCCTCTTTATCAAATATCACCTTTTTAATATAAAAGGACAAAACACTTTGGCCATCTTTTTGGAATTTAGAAAAGAGGAACATTTCATTGAACGTAATACATAGTTACTGTTTCATCTGTGTTCACTGGGCCTCTCTCTACATGATGAAATAATTATTTTCACATTTTCCTTTTAGAACTGTCTTTAACAAGACGAATACAAACGTGTTAAAAACTGTAAGCCTCTCCTATTTTTGTATTCCCAACCATTCCTCTAAAAGCAGAGGAGCACGGGCACACGTACCTTCTCCGTTACAGTCGGAACAGACAGACTGCATCTGCTGTACCATTCCCGGAGCCAGCTGTCTGATCATGATGCGAACACCTCGACCCCGACAAGCACTACACTTCTGCACAGCTCCAGACTTTCCACCTTGGCTACAGCAAGCAAAAGAACCAATTAGATTTTTGCCCACGGACCATTCCAGTAGGCCAGGAGTCTACAAACTTTTGAGACGGAAGAGCCGCCAAGAGTTGGCAAACTGCGGCTCACGAGCCGCATGCGGCTCTTTGGGTATGTACACGTGGCTCTGAAGTAAAATTGACAATGAAAATAAAACTATCATAGTTTCATTTATATTACTTTAAATTTTCCTTATTTGAAAAAATATATTTATGGCTCTTGAATTATTTTTAAATTGTTGTGAGGGACAGGATTGGCTCTTCCAGGGGTCGGCAAACTTTTGAGACGGAACGTATCCAAAAAGCAGCATGTGGCTCACGAGCCACCGTTTGCTGACCCCTGCAGTAGGCCATAACAAACTGGAATTGTGCTTTTGCCTTCAACTGTCCTCTTCAACCCCCAATGACTGGTAATTACACTGCTTCTCAGAGGTATCAGAAAATGTTCTGTGTTGGGTAGTTTTAAACCATGGACAACTTTTTATCTGGAATAGACTCTGTACCACTGAAAAAACAAATGAAATTTTTTCAGGACCAGGACACACACTTACCCACTGCATGCACTACAGAGTACATTCTTGCTTAGTTGTAGTTTGGTTGTCTTGCCATTATACAGATCTTCTAAAGATACTCTGGGGAGAAAAGAGTTAGGCTCAATCAAATTTTGCCAAGTTCTCTTAAATACAAGATATAAATGACAGCCAGTATAGTGAATTCCACTACAACCTTTTAAAACAAAGACTTCAAAAACACATTAAGTCAACTGACTGGGGTTTTATTTCGTGGCTCCAATCAGCAGGCAGATTTTATAGCTCTGGACAGTGCATACAGTGCCCAAAGCCAGAACCTACAGGATCAGGCCAACAGTCTACCTGCACTGCATTTTCTGATCATGCTGGTAACTGCTCAAACCCAAAGCATCACAGCCTTCTTCTGGCCTCAGGCAGGAGCCCTCTGCCTAATCTAAGCTTCTGAAGAAGGTACAATTATTCTCCCCATTTTGTAAGACAAAACCGAGGCACAGGGAGGCTAAGTAACCTGCCCAAGATCCCATAGGCTGCCTAGCTCTAGAGTCCACACTCTATTACAAGGCTCTGATCCCTCCAAAAACAATTTAGAAAGGCTACAAAGTCATATTTACAACCTATGGGAGGCACTCCGATTGCATGTCTCAAAAAAAGAGAAAAGAAAAGAAAGTAGCCTTATCTATAGCGTGACAGAGGAGAGGAAAAGGTTTTCGAAAGAGAGGAAAAAAAGAATAGCTTTTCAACAGAAAACCTACAAATTTTAGAGCTCTGAAGAACCCAGTGAGTTATACACAAAACTGTGTATTTGAACAACTTTTAACCAAATTTTCAAAGAGGTTATGACCCAAAAAAGGTTTATTTTAAAAAGTCTATTAAAAAACACCACTGATAAAACCCAACTCGCCTTTATTCATACAGCATATATGAATTATAGAACCATTCCTTTCCAAACTAACCTAAAAAAAAAAAAACCAGAAAAACCAAAAATCTATGTATATCAGAAATCTCAAAATGACTCTTCATTTAGGATCTGGCAGCGATGCATTTAGTCTGGCCTTATCCTTCTCACTGTGTTTTTAAACCTCCTTTACTAGTACATGTTTACTTTAAAACAGAGGAACAAAAAATAGTTGGAAGTATTCTGCAAAGCACCTATCCTATTTTGTGGTATTTGAATTTTCTCAAAGTTGTTACCTTTAGCTAAAACTTTATACATTCTAGGCAGCATAAGGACAAAACACAGACAAAACATTACCAGTGCTTCCAAATCCTGACATATCTTGAGCTTAACTTCAAACAAAAGCACTTGATTGCATCTCTCTTTTATATTTCATAAGACCTTTAATCAATCGTTTACAGAAAACAAATAGGTAGGTCTTTTCCCCTGACATTAAATTTCAATTAGTATGCAAAACCACTATTTAAGAGGCCAGAAAAATCCTCACGTCAACAAACCTGGCCAAGGAAGGAAAAATGTGGGTAATGGTCTGGCAAAGCTGGTACTCTTCCCTAGTGGGACTAAACTGGCACAATCCTCTACAGGACATTTAACTGTATTTATCGGTCTCAAAACACAGATGCCTGCCTGGGAATCTGTGCCAAGCAGAGACATGGCTGTATATAAAGATACTCATAGCAGCACTATTTATTACAGAGAAAAACTGGCAACATCCTATAGAAAAGGTGAATGATTAAGTAAATGATGGAATGGAATATTATAAAGCCACCCAAAATGAAATGTTGTCCTAACAGGGAAACTTTCAATAATGTTAAAAGAAAACAACAGGAAATAAAACTACATTTACTGTACAGTATGAAATAAATTTTATGGAAAATATGAAGAAACATAAGGTACAGCACTCTCTTCATCCTATTTACTTCTTAGACAATTTCTACATCAAAGAAAAATCTGAAAGAACTAATCCATACTGCCTGAATGTTATTGTTGAAATGATATCCAAATGATCATTTGTTTCTGAGGGTTAATTCTTTTACAATACAAACACATTTAAGAATAAGACTCAAACAATGTAACTGATTACGCTTTACTTCCTCTAATCTATTCAAATTATAAACTAGATTACATGAATTACAAACAAACACTTGAAATTCAGTCTCTGGCATTTACTAGTAAAATCATTATTGGTTAATCAATAAGTTACAGGATAAAAGACCTCACAGTTTTGCAAAGTAAAACAGCTATTTTCATATTGTAGAGGGCTCATGGGTTCCCAGTCTCAGATCAAGGTCAGACACTATTCATATGCTGGCAGGTTAATGTCAGGCTAGAAGCCAGCAAGCTCCATGGAAACCAATTTAGAAGAGTTCACACTGAGGATCAAGTAATGAGTGACTACAACATGTAAATAAACTAGTCAGATGTCACTCACTTTATAAGTTTTCAAATAAAAGTTAACTTGGAAGATTTAAATCCTTCAAAGAAGAGAATCTTCGTAATTAAAAATTTTAATCATATAGTAAAAAGCGGCATCAGAAGCATGTAACAAAACCATCTTCCTGCTTGGTAAAAACACCAACCATCCTTTAAGATACGTAGCAAAATGCAAACACCCATGTTATCAAATTCAAATGAGGACAGTGAAGCAAATGGAAGATTTTATTTTCTGATGAAGGCTAGAACATTTTTTGATACCTTTTCTCTCACTACTGAGATTTACTACCGTGTTTCCCCCCAAATAAGACCTAACTGGAAAATAAGGCCCAGCATGATTTCTCAGGATGCTCGTAATATAAGCCCTACCCTAAACATACGCCCCAATTAAGATCATCAGCCAGACATGACTGTTTGAATAAATGTACATTTTTGTACATGAATAAATGAATAAATGTAGATTGTTGGAGCAAAAATTTATATAAGACCAGGTCTTATTTTCGGAGAAACATGGTACTTGGAAAAGAGAAAAAGAAAGATATTCACTTGAGTGGATGCATCATGTCTTCTCCTCTTCTTCTGCCATTTCGACTTCTACTCTGATTGCCCATGAAGCCAAACAATCCCCCACCAAAAATGTGAGAGAAAATATCATCCATGCCACCTCCTCCGCCGCTGCCTTCCCGAAGACCTTGTTCGCCATATCTGTCATATAATTCGCGCTTCTCAGGATTTGATAGTACTTCATATGCAAAACTTATTTCTTTGAACTATAAAGAAAAAGGAAAACAATTCGATTTTCAAATAGAAGGGCAGGGAAAGGCTACAAGAATCCAGAGTCCACTTAATTAGAATTAAGTTGCTTTTGGTTTGATTCTGATCCTATTTATCACCTACCATTGCCCAGAATGTTAGCATTCCTACTACAAAACCAAAATACTCTTAACACAAAAACTTGGCTCCATGGGCATAAACGGACTTTTCTTACAACATTCCTTTTTCAAAGAGGGCAATTGAAGTTTAAAACTGAAACGTCAGGGGGGAAAAAAGTCTCAAATAACTTACTTTGTCACCAGCATTTGGATTCTTATCAGGATGGTATTCCTTGGCTAACTTTCTGTACGCCTTCAATAAAGGATAAAACAAAAGTTACATACAAAGACCCATTTAAAGATTTACAACTACTCACCTAATATTCACTTTTCTGAGAAGCAATGTTTTGAAATCATAACCTTCCAAAAAAATATCTTAGTCATTGGGATTATTTGGCATTTTCCACCTTAAAACTGTTGACTCAATTACGAAGCGACAGCAGTTACACTTGAAAATAGGTTATACAAACGAGACAATGCCACAAAGGAAAAAGTATTAATAAATTCCAACTTTTACTATTGTCAAATGTCTTTGGTGGCCAGTAACCAGATCAAGAAGACTCCCATCCACTCTAAAAGGAAACTTGTAAGCTTTACAAAGCGCAGCACATTACTACTAAAAACTAAGCAAAGGTAAGAACCCCTGCTCGCCATGGCTCCTCCAGTTGTAACGTCAGGAAAACGCCAAGCCACGCTGCCGGGTCATGTTTTATTTGCATACAGTGGGCTAATCTGGGGTCTTCGTAATTGGAGTGACCTCAGCCCTAGTGAAGTTACATAAATTTCGGTGGCTGCGAGACACAGCACCTAAGACTTCATTCACAGAAACAGGAATTACATAATAGAAACGAGCGTTTCCGGGAAGGTAACAGGAAGTCCATTTTACCCTCAACTGTCCCCGTCCCGCTGCCTAAGGGGCATTCTTCTTTTTCTCCGTTTACAAATACGCTAAGCCCCGCGGAGAGGCTGTGGGGTTTCATCCAACGCCTCAAGCGCTTCGGAATCCCGAGATGACAGATTCGCAGCGCTGCGAAGCGCGATAACGAGGCCTTCTGTTTATTTTTAGTCAGCGTCCACTCAGGTGTCTGGCTGGGACCCACGGCTTCTTCCAGAAGCGGGGCGAGAACCCCCGGCCCGCCGGCCCGCGGGACAAGGCGCCCCAACACAGACCCACGCGGCCGCGGGGTCGGCGCGCCCGGGGGGAGGAGCTCGGGGGCCGCGGCGCCCAGGAAACACCCCCGCCCGCCCCGAGGCGCCGGCGGGGCGGCCGCGACCCTCCCTTCCGCCGGGCCCCGCACCGGCCCGACCCGGCCCCGGCGCCGCCGTCCGCGGCGCGCACAACCGGTCTCCCCGGGCCGGGATGCGCCGGGCGCCGCGGCCCGACCTGTTTTTCCAGGGTGGTGACCTCGGCGCGGGGAGGGCCGGCCGGGCGGCTGCGTCCCCGGCGCCCGCTGGGGGCGGGAGGAAGGAAGGCTTTTCGTCGTGTTTGCGCAGGGGTGGGTTTTATTTGCTGCATCTGCGGGCGGGCGGGGCCGGCGGCCCAAGGTCAGCCGAGGCCGGGGAGCGCGACCCCGCGGCAGGCCGGGCT